AAAACTAATAGGATTGTAAGTGTGGCGTTGACACGACGTTAGTGATTGTTCGTTTGTCTCCACACCCATGGGCGACTTTGTTAATCAGTTATCGCTTCATTGTCTCCATGTATGGCGCTATTCAAAGGTCATAGGAGCCTATGTATACATGGGATAATTGGGCATTACTTCCGTATGGTCGCCCATACGTCTTGAGACGCTTTGACAAATGGCTCTCCAAAAGGAACCATTAGAAGCTCAGTCAATGCAGATGGAACCTCTTTATTGCCTCCATGGACTGGCATGCTATCCTCATGAAATCGGCATTACTCAACAAAGAAACACCTAAAGGGGCTACAGTGACTACGGTGTTTATGCATGCCACATCGTCCTGCTAGAAAAAGCGCAAGAATTATAAGTATTGGCGACGCAGGCATTTTACTCTGGTAATTCAGGTGCGTACTTGGAACAGACAAACACTGTTGTCTCACCCACGGGCGTTCCTAAAATGTGTTTGCAATCATTTACAAAGGCAAGCGCGCCCACTAATCCTGCTATGGACCACTGTTTCAGCTAGTCTTAGAAGCAGTCATGTGTGCACACCGTGACACAGGTTGTTATCGACTTGACAGCTACTGGGAAACGTTGTGTCATTGGAAGGTAGGTAATTCCGGAGGCATTGTTGAAGAACATCGTTCCAAACTCTATGCTTACTATGCGTATGCAATGCTCGTTGGCCGCTCATATCAGGGCCGCAGGCTCACTTGATATTTCAAGCTTATCAAACACTTGGACGTAAAGTGTAAATATCATGTTGAAACGAGGGATTGACATGCATCTTACGAACTTAACATACTGGCAGGTACATGGGTCCTGTAGCGGCCACTGATTACCGAAGTGGCCCACAGGTGTGGCGACGAACAAACACTCACTAATGTCGTGTCACCTCCACACTAGGAACCCTCCTCTTTGGAACAACCGCTACAGATCCACTGATGGTCTTACCTACACGGCGAACTTGACCTTAATACACAACGCGCCGACTACATCAGAAATACGTAGCTACGCTATTCACATGATTGTACGGCCAACTGAGAAAACAGCACGAGAAATTTGTGGCTGTAAAGCTTTTAAAAATTCTATTTGAGAACATGTCCTAGCTTTACCTCCTTCATACGAATTACTGCATTGTTTCTGATTACCTCATATTGCGTTAACAACCACACACATATTCTAAGCGAAATCGCGCACCTATCGATTCTCCAGATTGCTCGCAGTGGCACGATTACACTATGCGTACCGTATCACGTGTGGCCAGATAGGCAAGCGAGCAAGGAAGGCAACCGTGCAGTCAACCCGTAAGCCTACAAAGCTTCTCTTCCAACAGCCTGACGAAATTCTGGCGCATGAAGGGACAAGAAAAGAAAGCAAATTCCTCGACGCATGGTTCTCTACGGAGAACTCCGCTATACCCCTCATTGACCTCGATCCTTTGTACCTACAGCTGAGAAAGCGTGGAACTGGGCGGTCGAAAATCGAACAAATATAGGTCACGGGATACAGATTGACGAGGCCAATTTCAAACGCTTCGTCCCGAGGACACATTCTGTGAGATGTTCCTCTAAGTAGC